CTCAATGGGGTTTTACATCAGACGTATAAGCGAGTGGTGATATGTTTCACCGAACTATTGATTTGTGATGAACAATGTAAAATTGATCTTCTCAGTTAGTGTACTTCAAAGCTGATGACACTAAAATAAAAGCATTTAATGGAATATTTAATTTTATCATTTACTTAAAATCATGAAGTTAAAAATAAAATTTGAAAATGCGTGTAGATGAGTGTGTGTGTGTGTGTGTGTGTGTGTGTGTGTGTGTGTGTGTGTGTGTGTGTGTGTGTGTGTGTGTGTGTGTGTGTGTGTGTGTGTGTGTGTGTGTGTGCAATGTACAGTAAATTTTCTATATCATGATCTAGTACATTTAAAAAAATATGAACCTGACTAGATATCATAAACTTAAAACTGTCTGTTTGAGCTAGTCTTTCGCTCGAAAATGATGGGAAGTTTTATAACTTTCTATACTCACTAACTAATTAAAATAAAATAAGTACAACTTTATTTTATTTTATCTTAATGTTAGTAAAATAATTTTATTGCATGCCAGAATTTATTCTCACAGAATTTCTTATCATTTTCGAGCGAAAGGTTAGCTCCGTCAGTCGGTTTTACGTTTATGATATCTAGTAATGTTCATATTTAAAATGTAACTGCATCATGATGCTGAAGTAGATGGGTCTGAAGTTTACTAGTATCGATAGTGAACATTTGCCTTACATTTTTAATGTAAATAACGGATAGCGGCTGAACGATACAGACACAAGAGTGTACAGAAATTGCTCATGGTTTATGCCTGTTTTTTTCTTTTTTTTTTTTAGATGTAGTAATCATTGAAATGTCGGATTATAGTTTTTACTCGCAATTGCTAAGATAGAAGAATAGGAATACAGGATGAGTATTTCCTATTGGTTGATTATAAGTGTGGTGGGAGTTAGTCGAGCATTGAATCTGTAGAATTTTACAGTTCTATCGAAACTTCTCGACCGATCATATCACATATATTGTTAACTTTTCACCGAGTCAAGTTAATCGATTATGCTGTCATTGGAAATTTCAGAGCTAACTTTTTAATTAATTAATAATATTATAAAATATAACGTTGTCAAGATATCGTGTTAAAGTTTCGTTTAAAGTTCAATGTCGCAAAGGCTGTGCGAGTTACATTAATTATTTGCATTAAACAATCCAACTATATATTATATATATATATATTATAATCTGCAAAGCAGAAAAAACCCAGTTGAGTGAAATTAAATCACATTGGTGCTATTATATCGTAAAACTGATTTACTCGGTCTCAATGAATAAAGAGACAAAATCGATAAATACCGTGTGTCGCCCCGTTGAGTTCGGACTTCGCGTGATTGGCGTATGGCCAAACACGTCGTATGCAATTTTGCGTAGAGTGTTTTGTATATCTTCGGTGGCGGTATTTCAAATCTTTCAGTATCGGCATATAATTTTACATTTCGGCGAGGAGGATCTTTTGCTCCTCATGGATGTATTAAGCGCAACTCTGGCTTACAGTCTTCTGCTGATCAAATTAATCATTTTTGCGTTCAACACTCGGTAAGCTTTTCGTTGCAAATTTTTTCGGATTTCTAATTCCGAGCAGAAGTCATAAATAAAGAGAAAGCATACTTAATTTATATTAATTATCAAATTACTCCAACATTTCGCAAACACACATACACATCTCTGTCCACTCGGATGGATCATTTCGATCGATATTCTTTAAGTTTCTTTTAAATGCGTTATAGTGTGCTGAGCAAAATAATAGCGAATATAATTAAAGATTGGAAGGAGTGCGACGTTTGTGATGAGTGCACAATGACTAGGATGGCATACATCTCTCGTCGGTTCTCCAACTTTATAATCGCCTTGTACGCGATCTCGGTATTCTTGTACGCAACCGGTACTTTGATGAAGTATAAAAGTAACAATCAAACTGACACGCGAGAGCTCATCCTTAAGATGGAATTACCCTTTGAGATCAAAAGCACGTCGGTACATATAGTTGTTCTTATTACGCAGTTTGTTCATCAGACGAGTGCAGCTAGTATGGTGGGCGTGATAAATTCCTTGCTATTAACGTCAGTAAGTACGACTGTCTTTCCGTGATTTCTCGGTGTTCCTGGAAATTACAAAAGAAAATAAATATATTGATATATTGCGACGAATAGACGAATTTCTAGATTTTAAGAAATAATAGATGTGGTAACTGTATTAATCTGTATTGTGCTATTTACTAAAAAAAAAATAACACATTTTTACTTTTGTTGTGTAAAATGTTAAATTGAACAGAGTGCGTATGACGACGTTTAGGTTCTTCACTTATGTGGGCAGATTGATATTGTGCGGCAAAAGTTGAGTGAAATCAGGCGGAAGGACATCGAACGAGATATGAACCGGAATATCGTAAAAATGTTGATTGTTCGGCATCAAAATATTATCTCTTTTTCCAAGAATATTGAGGCTCTCTTCTCAAATATCGCGCTATTACAATTTGTGTCGAATACTCTAGTTATCTGTTGTCTAGGATTTGTCATCGTAATCGTAAGTACATATAAAATAACATAATCTAATTGGAATATAAAATATTTGAGAATCGAAATTTTTAGTCTATTGGCCGTCCGGGCGGATCGTCTATGTTAATAAAATCCGTATTTTTTTACATTGTTATGAGTATGGAGGCATTCATATTTTGTTTCCTCGGAGAATACCTCAGTACAAAAGTCAGTATATGTGATGTAAAGTATATTAGATACAAAAAGGTAAAGTTTTTTATTATATATTTCAGAGTCAAAAAATTGGTGACGCGGTGTATGAATCACTTTGGTACGAATTAAATCCAAATCAGAATCAAGACATCTTGATCATGATTGTAAGATCACAGAAGCATCTGAAGCTTACGATCGGAAAGGTTGCGGATCTTTCCCTTAAACAATTCGCCAGCGTAAGAACTTAATAATATAATAAAAACGGAGTTGAAAAGGTTACTTTTAAAAAGTAACTCGTTACCGTCATTGTTACAAAAAATAACGAATCATTATATTTTCCGTTATTTTTTCAATAAATTTTGAAGATTTTTTTGAAGATTTACTTGCTTGTACTTTTTTTTATACATATGTACGGCCTATAATATTTGTACATATGAAAAATAATGTTACATTACAAGGAACAATAACATTCGTTATTATTACCGAAAAGATGTCACGTTTTCGTTACTAATAATAAAAATTATAATATTGTTATTAATTTGTTATTAAAAAATAACTGTAACAGTAATGGCGTTACAAGTAACGCGTTACTTCCTGATTCTGGATAAAAGTAATTAAAGAAGTTTTATATTTGGGAACAAGTTGTTAGCATAAATGACGTTTTGACAGACGATCTTTAGTTGCGTCGTCGCGGCACGATAGCGGTAATTGCTTCTATCACGTTGTAGATCGTGAAAGCTTCGGCATCATATGTGTCTGTATTACACGCGATGTATTGAAGCCTTAACGTACACGTCGCTCATATCTTTGCGTGCGGCAGAAGGATATAGTACTTTTACTAACCGCCAACTGTTTATGCGATTAACAATTTTCTTATTCAGAGAGGCAGAGAGGCACATTTCACATCAAATGTACGAGTGTAGACAAGCAGGGGTATCGAAATATCGATTTACTGAGATATCGATTCGCTGTGGTTTTATTTAGCCTACGGTGTATCAGGACAGAGCTATAAATACATTGTTGATATTTTAGATAGATGTACTTTGCGTAAATATGATAATAAAATGGCGACAAAAATAAATGCGTTTGATTAGAAAAACTCAATCGACTACTACCATTTTCACATATATAAAAAATTGATTCAGAAGACTCGTAAGATAATTAAATCAGTGCAAAGTGTATCATGCAACATAATATACATAACAAGTAGTAATATAATATTATAAAGTACTCGCCTTGATTGTAGAAAAGAAATCTCCTATTGAACCTATTGGCACGTGTTTCAGCTTGCACCGCTGTCGTCGGACTGCCCGATCCTTCTTACAAGAACCTATAGCGCCAACTGTGATCTTTACACTGGTCTTCCCATCGCAACAAACTCCTGCGATACGTCTTCATCTTCCTCCCTCGCAATCCCCTACGTTACACTCCCCTAGCAGCAAAACTTTCCAACCTGGCGAGCAATTCATGGAAACTGCTTCTGGAACTTCTCCTTCTCTTGCCTGTTGCATATTTAAAAAGGGCCTACAGTTGCATCATGATCGAAACTTTGAAAGGAAAGGGAAATCCCCTATAAATGATATTTATTATCTAAAATTACAGTTCCAATTTTTTTCTTCTGTTATTTTCTATAATATAGTAGAAATATATATTTAATAAGTAGCGATTGGTCTCAATGGTGGGTGACATGGATTGAAAGTTCAAATCTACCACGAGTAAGTTTTAGTCTTAATAAAATCAACCACGCAATTGTAAAATATTTCTGATCC